GTTTAAAACAGCCATTGCTACTGCAGAACACTGCCCTACAAGGGCTAGTTTTACTGAAACTCAAAGCCTTCCAAGAAATATAAAACCTGTCTGCATTACCCTTCAGAGGCTTTAGCATTCAGGTCTTATTTTTTAAAAACTGAACTAATATAAATTTATAATATTTTTGTTAGTCTTGGTACCTCTTTTTTGTACTCATCTCCATTTGCTAGTAAGTTTCAAAATGCTCTGTTCTTGTGAAACCTCATTATGACTCCTTTTTCTTTATCTGTGAGTCTGAAATTAACTTGACATCAAGGTTTTACATATATTTTAGGCTAAATGTGAAGTATTCCCTTATACCCATGAGGCATTCAGAAAATTGGTAAGTTCTCCTTTCAAGGACACTCTAAAGGAGGTTATTAAAATTCAACACTTTGTATATTCTGATGGGGAAAAACACTTGTCTGACAACAAAGGAGATAAGTTGATTCAAGAAAGCTTCTCAATCTCCTTATCCATGGCCACTGAATTCCTCTTGCCAGTATTTGTAAAACCAAAATTAGAAAACGTTACCAGGGAGGAAGAAAAGTGTAGGAAACCAGGTCCTGTCCAAAAGTAAAAATCCATAACCATCTGTTGTTTGTGTTACATGGATTTCACAACTGTCATCTCCACTGTGCGCACCATTTCATCTTCGCAGTAATATCACCAAAACACCCACTGAGATAAAATCACAAATATTTTGAACATACCATATGATATGTTATTTTCCAAATTAACAATTGACAAAGTCAAAATGAGGACTTGTCTATAGGTTGCTCTTGTGCTGTCACACGAAAAAATCCCTTAAGGGTTTGCTACTGCTTGGAAATACTTAACTTCAAACTTGAGTAACTTAAGCAATACAGAAGAAAGAAAAAGAGAATAAATGATTCAATTTTTAATTATAAATGTGTTTTGAAAAATTGTAATGCCTACTACATACACTTAGTATCTTTCTTCAAAAGGGGTCTAAAGATGTTTTTCAAATTATTTACTTAGAAATATCATCCAGAATTTAAATGAATCTTTTTTGTTTTCTGAACTTTAGACCAGCAAAACTGTCCCACATTTCACAGCTGAGTATGGCTTAGAGAATTTATCAGCTCTCAAGATGATCTTCTTAACCTAGTGTCATACCCAAAAAGTTCTTTTTGGGGAAAAAACCACAACCAAACAAAAGAAACAAAACCCCCAAACTTGGAAGTTGTCCTTGGAAATTGTCCTTGAAAAAATGACAGAAAAAGAGTTAAAGCTTAGTGAGTAAACAAACTGCTTTTTCCCTGAGGAAATCTAAAACTCAAGGTCAGCTCTGTCTGAAATCACCAGACTTGTCACATGGCTTTCATAGCTGCCACTATGGCTCCCATCAAACCCACACTGAAAACAATGAAAACATTTTTACTGGAAACAGATAGAGCTCTGATAAGAGGCTCCCTAATCACCTTTGGCTGTTAATGCTGCACAAAGTGAGAGGTAAAGTTTTGAAAAAGAGAAGAATGAACTAAGAAAATTTGAGGTCAAATGTATTTATCTTTTTCTTTAGTTCCTTGATGTTTGCAGGTGTTAGAGGAGAAATATGGCTCTATAAGTATATGGATACATATATAGTTGATATATATGTGAATACATACATGGACACGCATTTTATAAACATATGTGCTTGCACACATACAGAAATACAGCCTGTCCTGTCAGTATAACTCAACTAATTCCATTTTATCCCAGCTTCTGTCCTCCAGTAACAGAAGTCTGGTGGTCTCAATCTCAGTCCCTTGGGTGTAGGAATCCATCACAAAACCATCACCCTTAATTTAACGGAATTGACAGTCTCTGCTCAAGAGAGGCAGAAGAAGGAGTTACCATGGAGACTGAACTACTGCTCTTCTCCAGAGAATGCTTTTATCAAACACGGGTTGAACAGTAGAGGATGTGCAACCTTGAGGCTTGTAACCTTGATCACATCACATCTTGCTTTTTGGGATGGTTTTTTAGTAAACTCTAAAAAAGATTCAGGAGATGGGTTTGAGGGGTGGGGGAAGGAGGAAGAGAGAGCTTTAGAAAACAAACAAACTAACCCCTCAAAACACAACAAAAAACAGGATGTAGGTGCATATTGTGCCGGACTGAGAGGGAAAAGGAGGTTCATATCAATTTGATTTATCAGAATTGTCACCTCTGCCTAGTGCTTTCCTAACAGGGTGAATGCTGTGCTTGACCTATTTGCTGGAATTAACCAGAACTGCAGGAGACCATATGGATTGCCAGATGGTCTGCTATAATTTAATGCCATTTATTCTAAGCATGAAGTAAGTGATAAACATAATTAACATTCTTTTAGCTCCTTACTGGATGCCTTTTATTGGTTTCTTTTTTTTTTTCTCAGGCATTGAAAAGTAAGTTAATATTTTGTTGCTGAAACACAGATGCCAGCTAATTACTGCAAGAGGCTGCAGCCTCTAAAGCAAAAAGTGTCTGCACAGACTAACTTACTCACTGACCCCAATGGGGTGATTAATAGGTTGAATGCTAAGCTCTAATGAGGATGGCAGATCTTAGATGTTTTCAGGTTACCTTAATTAGTAGTATGATGAACAGTGTTCATTGCAGATGTATGTATCACACTTCACAGTAAACAATATACCTTGTACTCATGGCCTGAACAAGTATTTCACATTGCAGCACATCAAATATGAAGGAAGAATCAAACCACTTTCAGACAATAAAAACAATGAAGTGACTTCCTTCAGAAATGTTTTTCCTGATAGCTATTTCATATTCTGCCAGTGATTGTCTAAATGGCCTATTTTTTAGGAAGTAGTCCTAGAGAAGGTATGGCTTCAAAGAGTGTTTATGTCAGGCAGGGTCGTCATTCTCAGCATTTTAAAATCACGAGTCCGTAACTAGATATCCAAACAACTTTGCCTACTGTTCCTGTGCTGATAATCTTCATAGTGATTGGGGTAGGTGTTATCAGAATGAATAGCAAATAATTTTGTAATTTTTAATGTCGATGTAGAGATGGAGTTACTATGCTGGTACTCAGAACAGTAAAAGAAGTATTAAAAAAAAAGGCAGGAGTACTAAATCCTTTGTATTTTATATAAAAAGTTGTGCACATTGAAACTCACAGATAAAAATGACCACACCTAAATGTCCTGAGATTTGCATCTGTACTGTTAATAAAACCTGGGTGAACTTTGACCTGACAGAAACAGCATAAATTGCTATTCAAAGAACATAACAAAACAGCACCTGTGCTTTAAAGCAAACCTCCTTCACATGATTAAAAGAGCCCAGGTCAGCAAGTCACAGCACAGCAAAAGCAGAAAAAAACTCCAGCCTTTCAACACTTGTTTTTTCCATGTTCCAGATGGGTTCAGCACTTGTTCAGGGGCCTCCACAGTTACAAGTTACAGTCTACAGTGCACGTGCTGATGCACCTTTAAGAAACAGATACATTAAAGGGGACCTGAATGTGATGGGACATACCCGATCTTTTACTTCAGTCTTATTTGTACTGAGTTACTTCTTCACCTGGTGAATCACTTGCCTAGTGTTGCCAGTCCTATAAAATCCGTTATATTTCTCTACTAGTATATGAATAACTTATGATTCTCTACTAGTATATGAATAAAAATAGATCAAAATATCTGAACAGGAAGCTTTTGTTGATATTGATTCCTCTTGTCAAGATGTGTCTCTGTGACTGCCAGCATTTGAGAAAAGATCCATTTTTCCATCCCATCAACTGAAAAATACTTACCTGAGGTGCTTAAGCTAATGCTATGCTGGCTTCAGCTTCACTATTATAGTTAGAGGGGAAAAAGAGGTACTTAGAGAAAGCAACTCAGGTAGCCTGAATTCCTCTCTGTAGGAACGTTCCTCCCTTCCCTGACTACTAAATGAGTTGGGGTCATTCATGTGTCAAAACTTAGGTAGGCTGAAATTACCATGCTATGAGGCTTCATGCACCCTTCAATAGATCATTTGTAGGACCTGATAATACTTTGCTGTTACACAGATAACAGTTCTGAAAAATACTGGAGTGATGCTCTTCAGTGATTAAAGAGTTTCAATCTCAATATGCTATTGGGACAATGTTTTCAGTTTCTATGTATATAGATTTATACATATACACACATTTATAAGTCTATGCATTTAATAGCTCCATCACTCAAATAGTCTGAGATGTTTCAGACCTTGTAACTATCAAAAGAAAGGGAAATGCCAGATCTATTGCCTGAATTAATCTCTTATTCAGACCTCTGGACTGCTTGAATAAGTGTTTTGCCTAAGCAGCAGCTAGCTCTCAACAATACTTAAAAAAGAAAAAAAATTCTGAAAAAATGAAGAAACCAAGCAGAATTTAACAAGTTAGTTTTTGGGGCTGATAGACACAAAACCTGTCAAAGCAGGTTTGACAGTTCTTAAACATAGCTTTATACTTTAAAATCCTTTTTCATCTGTCTTGTTCTTTATTTGCTTATTCACAATAAAAAACATATCATCGAATTTATGTTCATTGTTCAGTCCCAAAAATAAGATTGTCTGCATCTTAGCTGTCATACAGATGGCTTGTTTAAAACATCACTCTTGGCCTAAGTGGAAAGTAGGATTTTAGGACAAATGAGGACAAGATGTGAAATCCCTGACTACAGAGGAATACCTGTGCCTGAATAATGAACCCTATAAAAAAATAAATTTCTATGATTAAGCTCTATCATCAGATATACTGAGAGATCTCACCAAGGCAGTGAAAACTGATGAAATGTACCCCCAGACCCAGATGAAGTTACTTGGGCATTGATTTGTTGGAAAAATGATTCTCTCAGGAATTGTGAATTCAGGAAAAAACTGCAAAATAGAGTTAGGAAGAGGATCAAAGAAAAGGTCCTAAGGGGAAAAAAAATGCTTTAAGAGCATAGGAAAAAACCCCAAACAAACAATGGTATTTACAAATTTCACAAATCTCTTACCTCCTGCATACATGACAGCCAACATTATCGATGATATCCAAGCTATCTCACTATAAGATGTGTGGAAGATTTCTTGTATTTCCTTGAAGAACACCGTGATGGCTTTGGGGAATGCATAGGAAAATCCAATGGAAATAAAAGCCCCAAAGACCACAACCCATCCCCAGCCTCCATCAGGAGGTGGGTAATCTGGCGCTCCTGTTGCTGGTGGCATTTTTTGGTCTCTATCTCTTCGCCAACTAGACTGGAAAAGAAGAAAAGAAACAGGGGTTTAGTTTTCCCTCTTTTCCATATCAAACTACAGTATTCAGTCATCATCTGCAGGGATTATAATGAGTCCTCAGAGCAAAGACCAATTTCCAGCTTTCATGGAATCACAGAACACAAGTACCTGTTTTTAGAAGCAAAACCTGTTCTGCAAAAAGATTTTTAGCAAGAATATTTCCAATAGCCTATTTAATATGTGGCAACTGTTACAAATCACTGATCTCAGTCACTAAAGTTGCATTTGCAATTATTCACTTATTGGAAAGTGATAAGTTTGTGTGGGTTAATTTACATAGTTCTACCATCTACGGTATGGATGGGAAACAATGGAAAGAAGTTACATTAAATTATAACTAAATGCCATTGTGTTAGCAAGATTTATTGGTACCACAGCAAAATCATCAGCAACAGCAGAAAAGAACAAATTGCAAACAACTGAACAGCAAGTTCTAAGCAGAGATTTAAAATTCCCTGTGTACCCATAAGTAAATACAAAATATTAAAATTCCATTTTGTACTCTTGTTTTTCAAGATTTTCATCTTCATATTATAAGTTATGTTGATATTATTTGCAGGATCAAAGTGGAGTTTGATGGAGTTAATTTTGCTGTTTCCACATGTCAGAAGACATCAGGAAACCTTTCCCTAATAAACCTCACAAGCTTTCCACAGCTATTCTCTAACTTAGAATTGACCATAGAGATGCCAACAGAGTGATATCTTATAGAGGTTCTGAGATGTGCATTCAGGCAGCTCAAGAAATCATAGGTAATCCACACAAAACTCATAAGACCTGAAATAAATGTCACCCTATTAGTGTCATCTTCATATCTAAAACCTTAAGTTTTCTACATTCTGCATTTCCTTTAGAAAACATGTTTAGAAAACATGTAGCAGTGATAATTCATTTTTTAATTCTGAGATTTTTCCACTATCAAATCCCTTTATTATTAAACACAGTCCTGCAGTACACTGTGTTTTCTTCTGTGTAATCCAGCCTACACAGACAGTGTGCAGTGCAAATTCCTCCTTCCTCTCTGTTTCTTTCTCAGGTATTTAGACAATTTATTATTCTTCACTGGTCTCCTGTTGTACCAGTATCGAAAGCTGTGGATGATAACAGTGTTTAAGTTGCTGTTATGCTTATGGTTACCAGTAGGTCTCTACATGATTTCTTCTGTGCCACTTACAGCATATTCCAATTTCTCGCAGTAAACTGCATTAGCAGTGGGAGTGATATGATTACCTTAACAAAAACTGAAAAACTAACTGCGTCAGCTTATAGTAGTCTCTTGGGATAGTGCCTGGAGTATTTCAGGCTAAATACCATGTAGTATATGCCACAAAACAAGCAAAGTGTTGCTTTTAAGATTACCTATCACTAGGGGATAGAAACCCACTGTACTTCTGATTCTCCACTTTACTTAAGCGACTGTAGATATCAGCTACAGTCTGATGTAGCTTGTAGACTTTTTGGGGGAAGCTAAATCAAGGACTAAAACATCTGGCTTTTATGAAAGATAAAAAAAAGCCCAGGTAGTTTGACTTCTGTACCATATAATTGAGATTTGCTGCTGGCAGCAATAGGTATCTATTTCTCTGTACACAGAACATTTAAATCTTTTTATGTGCTTGTCCAGAAAGAACCTCTGTTTCTGCTTATCCTAGTTACAGCTTAATAATAGTTCACCAACATACATCAGAGAGGAAAACCTGGGCCTGCCACCAGGAAAAGTTGGACAAGTAGAAACAATTCTGGTTGCTGAGACTTAACTTCGGCAAAGCAGTTAAACATTAGTTTGTTTTTGCTAATCAGGACACATAGGAGTATCTCAGAAAGCCTACTATAATTTAGAGCACACATAATAATGATCGATTGCATTCAAAAGCACAAACTTCAAACTGGCATGAAAAGCAGAACTGTTTTTAAGTGACAGTAAACAAGACAGCTATCTATCCCAGAAAACAGTTGTTCTGCTCATCTGAGAAAACTTTCGGTTATTTCATGAAAAAAAGTTCAACTATTGTTTTCTACACTTCAAAGGCTTGAGCATATTTGTTTTCATATTTACTATTCAGATGTCAACACTTCTATTGCTATTACAAATTTTTGTAATGGCACACAACATCAACACATTGCTCTTCACAACAATGGAAAGGATTTATCAATTTATTAAAGAAGCACTCCTTCTCCTAAAAATAATATACAACCACTTTGAAAAATCACAGCCACCATATTACTCAGAAGAATGTTGAAGGTTCCCGAATGTCACTAATGAATCAATGCTTTGGTTGGTTCATTATGCCCCTTAGGGCATAAGAACAGGCTCTCACAATTCAGTGCTTTCCTCCCTTCAAATGTTTCACAGTAAATTAAGAAGGCATTAAGGAGCCAAGCAAAGGGGCATTGGCTGCTCCTGTTCCTCAGCCTAGAGGTTAACTGCTTCAAAGCCCACTGAAATGGTCCTGCCTGCCAACCTGCACTGGGCATTACGCTGTCACGAAGAAGAGCCTGGATCATTGTATCTCACACCTCCTGTTTATTCCACAAAGTAGAGTTAATAATAGCTTCCCTGATATTCCTTTATGATCGTCCTGGCCAATTTTAGCTCCAGTTAATAAAAGGTGAACAGGAAAAAAATTATGTTTGCAGCCAGAGGGAAAAAAGTATTCATTTTGTCAGAAACATCAAATCCAGCACCTCAAACATTCCATACCTGCTCAGGAGCTAAAGCTATATTCTGCTGTAAAATCTGCACTTAATATCTCTGAAACTGAATCCTTCCTGAAGAAGTCTAGTCCATTAATATACCTAGCTCTAACCTAAGCCTAACTAGTCAGATTTGAGTAGTATAGGTAGTATTCAGAAAAGTGCAAAATCCATCACCAACCAAATCAAAACAGGATTTTACATGAGTGGATACAAATGTTAATAAAGGAAGAGGCACAAAATGAAGGAATAAAGCAGTGACAAGCAAAATGCCTTTTCAGAACTCTTAGTTTATTATGGGCTGGGGAGAATAAAAAGAAATACGGTAGAAATCATAAAACCAGGCACATGTGATAATGTTAATGTGAAGGACAAAGTGCCAGACCAAAAGAAAAAAAATAAAAAGCAGCACTTGAGTAAATGAGGGTCACCACCACTGTTTTTAGTCAGTCATATGAATTCCATCATGTGCTTAAAGCTAGCAAGCGAGCACTGCTCATATCTATGCCTTTATAGGCAAGCAGTGGGTGAGGAATGCTCCCTGCCCTCTGCCCAGAAAAGCAGCGGGGGAATAGTGACTGAAATGTGTCCTGAGCGAGGCCATCAATCTCTCTTCTCTCTGTCAGATACACAGAGATTGCTCAGCCCTTACATACCGAGTCAGACTGTGCAGAAGGATTTTCTCCTAAGTTCTTTCTAGTTCCCCTGTATAAATCCCATTTATGTAAGCAGTGAACAAGAACATAGCTTACTGTAGTAAGACCTGCGTGCTTCTACTAAGAAACAACAGGAGAGAGACAAGAGGGCACTTTTGAAACATCTGATATTCACTATTTTCATTGTGTAGTTTTCAGCACATTTGAACTTAATCAGGCATATGAAAACTAGTGAATGAAAGAGAGAACGAGAATGGGAGGGAAGGGGAAAGTGAGGGAAGGAGGGAGGAAGGAAGGAAGAGAAAGGAAAAGAAGGAAAATGAGGCGGAAAAGAAAAAAAAGGAAAAAAGCACCAAGCAAACAACAAGGTCAAAACAAACTAGGAATAAATGCTACAGACAAATAATGTACCTTGATATCATGCACTGTAGAGTTCAGTTAGTTATAATCAACCTTTTCAAACTGCTCTTGTACCCATGCTTCATTAATATTCTGCAGTTGCCAGCTGCCAGAATCAGATATCAATAAAACAGCTTGTCAAAGACCCTTCTAAGAAGGGGTTATGTTGCTCTCTTGTTTACAGAGACTCTGATTTTACTGGGAGATTTAGTTTTGTTTTTCTGCAATATTAGAGAAACTGTTTGCTTTCCAGCTTTGATTTTGTCTGCTTTGTCCTGAATGTGCCCCATCACCACTTGACTCAGCAGCCATTTCTCCCAAAGTAAAAGAGCTGGCATGTGAAAAATCTGTCCCCAATTGCTGTAGGATACTGGGAATACTTGGCTTGAGTGCACTACACACAGTGCACAGTTTCACACAGTAAGCCAAGAACCACAAACAGCTTTGCAATTTTGACCAATATCAGTCATGTAACATCCCTGTGGGCTGACTGAGTAGCATCATCCACTTTTAGACATGGGACACAAATGTAATAACAGGTTAAGTAACATAAGTCCTGTCCCAGATCAGTGGCAGAGCTGGGATATGGAGTAATGCCCAAATAAGCTGTGAGTTATGACTAAAATTTTTAAGTATATGTGTGTTTTAGAATCTCGTTAAGTAGCAAATTCAGATTAATTGTACTGCTTATACTAGAGTAAGGAGCACAGGTAGGGTACAACGTTTGCTTTACAGGTTTGAATAGTTTGCTGCTCCAACTTACCTTTAACAACCGTTAATTACATTGCTGTATTTGAAATAAGTTAATTTGCTTTAGCATTAGTAAAATAATGAGTTATATAGGAATTATACTCCTATAAAAGATCCTTGCTTAAAAGCTGCAAAATTTCCAATTTTCTTATTTTTATTAACAACTCTAATGAATTCCAAGATGGTAGAATAGCAAGTATCATCTCATCCAATGGTATTGCCTCAACAAGTCCGCCAAGTTATTGTCATTATCTTGGAAACAATATTCAGTTTTTGAAAAAAAACATACCTTGTTAGTTTTGTGAGATGGTTTTGTTCTTTCTCGTTTGGGTTTTTTTTCTGGAGAGAGGGAGGATGTGAAAACACTCTGACTACAAGGTATCAAGAGAGCCTGTTCTCTGCTTTTAGCTCTAACTATTCAGATCTGAAGGTAAAGTAGCTCCTAATGAGAATGGGCTAATT